AAGATTTTCCCATGTCTCCCAGCATGTTTGTTCATAAGAACAGGAAAACTGCCTCCTTGCAGTAAGGGAATTTTAACCACTGTCAGTCACTGTGGAATCTTTCACTCATGGTCCTTTGAATAGAAATATAGTCAAGGAGAGGAAAGGTATAAGCAGTGATAATACCTTATGGTAGTATATTTCATAGTACTTGAAATACCTAATTAGTTGTTTATGGGAAGTAGGTAGGCAGAGAGAGTGACTTGCCTGTTTTCATATACATGTAGTAAATGTCAGAGGTAGGGCTAGAATTCTGGACTTCTGTGTTAGTTGGGATTGTTTTTGGCTGTAAGTGACAGAAACTGTGACTGTAATGGTTTATAGAAAAAGATTATTGCTTTTTTCACATAAGAAGTCTGGAAGTAGGTGGTTGCTGATATTTGATCATCAGTGATCTGTAGCTTAGTTTGTTGGTCCAAGTACAGTGGTGTTTACAATTAATCGAGCACGACCAGTTACAGATTCCTTTGTTCCTTCTCCACTCCCACTGCTTCACTTGACCAGCCTTTAAACAAAAATTGTTAAAAAAAAGATGAACAGTAGCTTAGTGACGTCAAGGCCTATGTCTGTTCTCTTGGCCATCTACTCATGTATACAAGATGGCCGCTGTAGCTCTAGATGTTACATCTGCCTTTAAGGCAAGAGGAAGGGTAAAGGGAAAGGGCAGGAATAAGGGATATAGCTATTTCAGGAAAGTAAAAATTTTCGTATGAATCCCTCCCCAGATTCTTACTTAGTTTTCATGGGCAGCCAGAACTGTCCTATAGCTATTCTAAGCTTGCAAGGTGGCTGTCAAGGAGGTGACTTCCATTTTAGTATACCAACTACTGTTTTGATGATGTTCAATGAAAAACATTGAATCATAGCTTTACTTCAGCCATGTTAGTCTTTAATTCTCTTTGTACTTATAGCTCATACTATATAATTTAGATATTGTATACTCTTATTTATGAGGTGTGATAGGACCTTAGTTCCTATGTAGATGTTAAGTTCCTTTGTGTCTGGGACTAGATCTTCTACTTTTTGTATGAGGACATAGAGTTTCAAGAAAGGAATTCGGATATTATCAAGCCCACATCTAGTGGCCCCTAGCAAGTGTACAATATAAGTGAACCACTAGCAAAGAGTTTGTTGAGTTAAATTGAATAATGAAGGTAGAAATGGGGGAGAGTGGAAAATTTAGAATGGGTATACTAATTAACCCCTGTTCAGGGCAAAAGACTATGGAGAATGGATTTACTTGGAAATAGAGACCTTAACTACACTAACATGCTTCTCTAATGCACAAGGTAAAAGGGCAGACAGATGTGGGAAGAACAATGCACTAAAGTCAGGAGCCTCAGTTCTAGATCTAGCTCTGTTTTTACATAACTGTGATATTGGGCAAGTCATTTAATCTATCTGATCTTGAGCTTCCTCTAGGATGGGGAATAATAATTGCTGCTCTACAGGATTGTTGTGAGCATTAGAAATAGTACATGTTTAGGCTGGGCTCGGTGGTTCACTCCTCGTAATCCTAGCGCTTTGGGAGACTGAAGCAGGAGGATCACTTGAGCCCAGGAGTTTGAGACTGCAGTGAGCTATGATGATGCCGCTGCACTCTAGCCTGGGCAACACAGCGAGACCCTATCTCAAAAAAAAAAAAAAAGAAATAGTAAATATTTAGTACTTCATGGCACTTGGCATGTGCCTTTGGCAACTGTTTTGTACCATGGTCTTTTGTATTATTGTTGTGTGATCTTGGAGAACCCTTTATGCTTTAATTAATGCTTATCTATAAATTGCAAATGTTAGGTGTTACCTAAGATTTCTCCCACTTCTAAAATGTCATGTTTCTACGCTATGTCCCTCAATTAGAGCATTGTTATAAAGGTATTTGTGGAATTCTGGCTGCAGTTAGTTCATAGGAGAGGCCATGGGAAGATGAAGTTCTCTGGTATCTAGATTTATATCACTATATAAACCAAATATTTATTATTACAAATGTTTCTGGAGACACTGTAAGCCCAGAAGTATCTTCTGAATTACCCTAGTCCACTGATAGAAGCTATGAAATGCTGGCCAAACCACTGAGCAGCAATGTAGGTTGTGTGTAACTAATCTCATGATTTATCTCAGAGTATGGCTAGAATGGTATAGTTAGAGAAAATGAATACTGAAGGCTGTTAGTGCCCAGAGTTGGTGAGGGTTTGGGGAACTGGCACATTCCTCTGGTAATGAGAGTATTATTCTTCTGATGAACATTTTCACAGTATGTTTCAAGAGCCTCTGACCCAGCAATTCCACCTCTTAGGATTTATCTTAAGGGAAGAATTGTGGATGTGCACAGAAATTTAGCTACAAAGATATTTTTCCACCAATGTCTTTAAAGTAAAAATATTGGAAAAGGGCTAAAAACAGAGGATAAGTAATTATGGTGCAGCCATTGATTGATGATATGTCTATATTGACACAGAAAAATACAATATGGGAAACAAGTTCAAAATGTCAGTGATTCATTTTTTACAAATAAAATAACAGTTTGTGTATATATATATGTATATATATGAGGAAGAAGTCTGGAATAGTGTGACATGATAGACTTTTTTTAATAAAAGCTTTTTAATCTATTTTTTTAATAAGCATGCATTTTTATAATAAAATAAGTGTTTAAATAAAGGTATTAATTTAATAAATGTTTATGCAAGTGATTACTGGTATCTACTCCCCTTCCAAGATACAGAATACTTTTAAGTACATGTTGTTCCCTGGATAAAGACAAATGGCTCATTAGGTTTCATAGGCAAATTGTTTGCCAGCGAGTGTGGCCTTTAGGCTATTTTTCACATTACTTTCAGCTATTTTATTAACTAAATAGGGCTGGAGTGGGGGCTGACTTTAAATTTAAACAAGTTTCCATAGGATAGAGTGCAAAACTTTGTATACACGAGTAGACGTGGACCTGTTTCTTTGGCTTGTTCCTTTTACTTATTCTACGTGTTGTGCCTTTTACGTGTATTTCAAAGTCATTTTTTTCATGCCTAGGAATAGTCTACTTTGAAAATATTTCTAAGGAAAGAAAACCTATATTTGGCAAAACTGTACTGAGCTTTTACTATGTATAAGGTACTGTGGATAGATGAGGTAAACACTAGTGAGTAAAATCCACCCTTGTCTTCAGGAACTTAGAGTCTACTTGGAGAGACATTTACATAATTGGCTAATTTAAAATTGGATAATACGTGTTATAGTGCAGTTATATATAAACAAAGCACTATGGCTTTGGAGAGGCAACAGTTATATATAATAGGTGGAAATTGGGAAAGAGTTCATAGAGATTTGAATTGGACTTTGAATGATGAATAAAATTTTGGTTGGTAGGTATAAAAATTAATGGTGCGTTTCAGAAATTGGGTTATTCAGGGCAGAGAGAAAGTAAACTGGATGAGAGGAGGCTAGAAATGAGAAAATGGTAGATTGAGAGAAAATAACATAATGAATGTAATACACCTAGCACAGTGCATGGCGTATTGTAGGTACTTATCAAACTTTGACTCTTTCTAATTCCAAACATATTTCTTGCAAAGAGTGTCTTCAAGTTACAAAAAAATAATAATAATAACTTTTAGGTTGATTAGAAAAATTAAGGCATGTTTTCGGTAAATTCTGGGTGATTTACAAAATTGCAAACATGATAGTAAAACCAAAGTAATTGTGAGCAGTCAATACCTCAGATTAATATGCAACTAAGTTTCTGAACCGTTTTTTCAGAAGGTCACCTGTTAAGAAAAGAGATACAAATACTCTTACAAGTGTGCTAAGTGGGGAGCAATGTCACAAGTTGAAACCTCTTATTCCTATGATGCCCCCATGGACTTCATCAATTTTACATCTTTGGGTGATGAGGAAGATACTGAAAACATAGATTCATGGTTTGGTAAGTGTCTGCTTTCTCTGGCCTTTTTTTGAGGGGTTGGGGGCTGGAGGTCTGCGCACAGACCTAGGATCTCTGGCCATTTTAAAGATTAGTGGCTTGCTTTGTGCTGAGGACCTTTCAAAAATAGAAGGGGTTGCAAGAAAATAAAATATAAACTCCTTTCTATACCAAGGCACTTTGTCATTCATGTTATGGTAGAAATAATTGAAATACTCTGTATTTTGGGAATGGACTATAAGTACAAATCAATGTTACTTTGTAGTTCACAATGACAAATATTTAGGCTTTAGAGACATATGGGAAAATCCAGATGAAACAATGTTCACTGAAACTCCAAGACTCAAACCCAAATATAGTGATGCCAGCCACATAATAACTTTGTCTGTTATCATTGGGCATAGAGTATAATACCACAACTGAGATATTGACATTGGTACAATCCACCAGTCTCTTTTTTTTTTTTAATTTTATTTCAACATATTATGGGGGTACAAATGTTTAGGTTACATATATTGCCCTTGGGGCCCCCCCTACAGTCAGAGCTTCAAGTGTGTCCATCCCCCAGACGGTACAAATCGCACTCATTACGTATGTATATATCCATCCCCCCTCCACTCGCCTCCCATCTGCACGATAAACGATGAATGTTATTTCTATATGTGCACTTAGGTGTTTATCAGGTAAAATCAATTTGAAGGCTGGCTGTGGTGGCTAATGCCTGTAATCCTAGCAACTCTGGGAGGCCGAGGCGGGAGGATCGCTCGAGGTCAGGAGTTCGAGACCAGCCTGAGCAAGAGCGAGACCCTGTCTCTACTAAAAATAGAAAGAAATTAGCTGGATAACTAAAAATATTTAGAAAAAAAAATTAGCCAGGCATGGTGGCACATGCCTGTAGTCCCAGCTACTCGGGAGGCTGAGGCAGAAGGATTGCTTAAGCCCAGGAGTTTGAGGTTGCTGTGAGCTAGGCTAATGCCATGGCACTCTAGCCTGGGCAACAGAGCAAGACTCTGTCTTAAAAAAAAAACAAAAAACAACAACAATTTGATGGTGAGTACATGTGGGGCTTATTTTTCCATTCTTGGGATGCTTCACTTAATAGAATGGGTTCCAGCTCTATCCAGGATAATACAAGAGGTGCTATATTACCATTATTTCTTGTAGCTAGCTGAATAGTACTCCGTGGTATACATGTACCACATTTTATTAATCCACTCATGTATTGATGGGCACTTGGGTTGTTTCCACATCTTTACAATTGACAATCCACCAGTCTTACTCAGATTCTCCAGCTGTACTTGTATGAATTTCTTTTGTGTGTGCATATTAAGTTCTCTGTAATTTTATTACCTGTGTAGCTTTCTGTATCTACCATCACAGTCAAGATATTGAATAACTCTAACATCACAAGGATCTTTTGTGTTGCACTTTATACCTATGCTCACCTCCCTCCCACCACCCCTCTCCAAATTCATTTTTTTTTTAAGAGATGGGATCTTGCTATGTTGCCCAGGCTAGTCTTGAACTCCTGGCCTCAAGCAATCCTGCCACCTTGCCTCCTAAAGTGTTGTGTTTTTTTTTTGAGACTATGTCTGGCTCTATTGCCCGGGTTAGAAGCCATTGCGTCATCATAGCTCACTGTACCCTCAAACACCTGGGCTCAAATGATCTTCCTGCCTCAGCCTCCACAGTAGCTGGAACTATAGGTGCATGCCACCATGCCCAGCCAATTTTTTCTTTCCTTTCCTTTCCTTTCCCCTTTCCTTTCCCCTTTCCTTTCCCCTTTCCTTTCCCCTTTCCTTTCCCCTTTCCTTCCCTTTCCCCTTTCCTTCCCTTTCCTTCCCTTCCCTCCCCTTCCCTTCCCTCCTCTCCACTCCCCTCCCCTCCCCTCCCTTTCTTGCCTGGGCTAGAGTGCCGTGGTATCAGCCTAGCTCACAGAAACCTCAAACTCCTGGGCTCAGGAGATCCTCCTGCCTCAGCCTCTTGGGTAGCTGGGACTATAGGCACATGCCACCATGCCCGGCTAATATTTTCTATTTTTAGGTGTTTGGCTAATTTCTTTCTATTTATAGTAGAGACGGGGTCTCGCTCTTGCTCAGGCTGGTCTCAAACTCCTGAGCCCAAGCAATCCTCCCGTCTTGGTCTCCCAATTTTTTATTTTTCTTTTGGAACAAAGTCTTGCTCTGTCACACAGTCTAGAGTGCCATGGTGTCAGCCTAGCTCACAGCTATTTCAAACTCAAGTGATCCTCTTGCCTGAGCCTCCCAGAGTGCTAGGATTATAAGCGTGCACCACTGCACCTGGCCTCCATCCTCCTTATTAAGATAAATTAATATCAATATGTGATGGGGAACAAAAGTGATTCCATCACAGCTGCACTTACCACTTACAGTGCATTGTCCAAATGTGATACCATTCTCTTGGAAAGGGACTTTAATGGTGTCCAGTGGGGATCCTGAGAGGAGGAGTCTGTTGGAAGTATTATGGGAGGAAGGATAAATAAGAGGGCCAGCTGTCTTCCCCATGCCCTTGTTTCACTGGAACCCTGAGGAGATGGCTGGACTGTCTGAGGATTTCTTTTTACTAAATTTTTCCTTTTTTCATTTTCCACATGAGAAAAACTAAGTTTTTCTTTTTTCTTTTTTTTTTTTTTGAGACAGAGTCTCACTGTGTTGCCCAGGATAGAGTGCCGTGGCATCATCCTAGCTCACAGCAACCTCAAACTCCTGGGCTCGAGCGATCCTTCTGCCTCAGCCTCCCGAGTAGCTGGGACTACAG